ACTGTTTTACATTCAATTATGTCCTTGACTTTGATTGTTTTAAAAAGTCTTTAATGTACCTTACCTTCATAAAACCTGCAGAAACCCTGAATGAGAAATATACATAAAAAACAAGCAATTTCAACTAACACAAACAGCAAGATATAACTACTATTAAAAAAAAAAAAAACTCAAAGAAGACAGAAGTATCTTACACAATGGGGTTAATTATAAAAATTCACCTCCAGCAGATTACAAGAACGATTGTCTTTTTATTAACTAACATTAACACAGATTAATAAATGTATTGTTCCATGTTCGTTTGTATACCGCGCGCAAGGTTTATGCGCATAGTCCAAGTCTTCTCCGTTTTTAGTGTATCTCTGTGGCAGAATTACAGCGCCACATACTGGTCTGGCATGTATACTACATCGTTTTGTGTCGGTTTTGTGGTTTCGTGTGGACGCAGATATTTCTTGAGACGAGGGGGAAAAAAAGATTGGATAGGGAAAGCTCTGGCTTCGTGTGGACGTAGCCTTAATCATGCCTATTGAGTATTTAAAAAAAATTAAATAAATCAGATGAGCCTTTTGATATGCCTGAACCTGTTACATTAGGAAATATGTCAACAGAGGAAAGAAAACCGTGCCAGTCGGCTCATTTAATGTCATTTACTGTCATTCATGCTTGCTTTTTTGCAGTCTTTAACAGTAGAGGGTGCTGTGCATGTATTAGAAATTGCTCAGTTTTTTGTTATAAAAAAAACAACAGTTTACACTTCTCTTTGCACTTATACTGGAGTTTGGAGAGATGCTTTGCATACATTTTCCCAGTTCCCTGAGTGAAATATCATTATAATGCAGCTTATAGATTACCTTTCCCTATAATTGAGGTTTTTAGCCTGTTAACAAGCATAGTGTATGTATATGAAGTGCATTTGTTTATTGCTGTATTTATTGCTGCACGTTTTTTGTCTTTTTAACAGGAGTGTGATAGCAAAAGTGGAAGAATGCAGTCATCCCATTGTAATGAAGGGCTTGTGTGCCGAATGCGGCCAGGACTTAACTCAGTGAGTCTATATCCACTTTACGTTTGTCTCACTTTACAGTCTCCAGTTCAGAATCGTTTCTCTCCTCTTACCTAAAAAAGTGAAATGACGTCTGTCAGGAGCCATTCAGGAAAAGCTATTGTGTCGGCTCTTAGAGTTATTTCTGTTAGTAGCTATATGGTGCTGAAGATGCTCTTACGTTTCAGACTACAGAGCAAGAATGGAAGGCAGCAGGCGCCCATCTCTACGGCGACCGTTTCCATGGTGCACAGTGTTCCCGAGCTGATGGTCAGCTCAGAGGTGAGTGCCTAGCGTTTGCCACTTCTGAGGATGGAGATTCTTAATGTATTCCAATCGGAATCGAACAACAAACTGGTGTGAATGTCATTTCAAACAAAATCATAAATCTCAGTTTGGGGGGTTTAGGAGTTCGAAACTTTCTCTAAATGTTTGCTCTGATATAGGCTCACTGACTCCGGTTCATTTCTTCTATTCAGTCTATCAGAGTCAGACACAAGTAAAGACATGAACACACTGGAGAGCTGCTTTATTGTAGAAACTAAAGAAGTAATTCCAATCGAACGCGAAACTGACACAGTTTTTTCATATTTAATAATGTAAATCTGCTTGCTTTAAAGGTGACATATCATTAAAAACTGACCTTTTCCGTGTTTAAGTGCTATAATCGGGTCCCTGGTGCATCTACCAACCCAGAAAACGTGAAAAAGAACAACCCAGTAAATTTTTATTTGGTAAGCCTTTCTCTGCAAGCTTGTGAAAAGACGAGCCGCTCGGATTTCGCTCCCACCGTGACGTAGAAAGGGGATCTTATGATATTATCGCCCCTTAATCTGCATGTTTCCACCCACGGCGCCGCCATTGTGTTTTCGCAAGCGACAGTGGTGTACCAGTTCGAAAGTTTGAGCAAAGCATGCTATCAGTTCTGTCTTTGGCTGCACTGACGAGCTCAGAACACTGTTTAGAGTCCAGAGAGCAGTGGATTCATTGATTTATTTACTGTATATTACGGTGCCACACAGATCCAATATAAACATGCAATTTCTTTCTCAGCTGTTTTCCTTAACAGACATAACCGACTGTTTTTGTAACTCGTGTGTTTTTTTTAACATAAACGTGTGTGTATTTGACAGTTTAATCGCAATAAGACATGAAAGAGAGCTTAGTTTAGTACTCACATGCCGCGTGACAGCCGCTTTCTGTGCGTGTGCTTCGGATGTGTGCACTAAGAAAACCTTATATCAGAAGTTTAAACTAATATGCTGACTGGATACTTTCTTATCAGGCGCCTTTAAAGGTAAAGTGTGTAATTCATGTTTTTGTGATGATTTGTGGGGTCAAATACATTTCAAAGGGGCTTTAATAAGCGGTTGTGTATAAAATGGTGTTTGTGTTTACTCTGCACAATCAGTGTCTGGTGTACAAAAGCAGTGTTTTTTGTCTCTGTGTGTCTGTGAGCAGCAAGCGGAGCAGCTTGGCCGAGAGGACCAGCAAAGGCTTCACAGGAACAGGAAGTTAGTGCTGATGGTGGATCTGGACCAAACGCTGATCCACACCACTGAACAGCACTGCCAGCGCATGTCCAACAAGGTAACAGTTAAAAACATTGCACTACACTACCATGCAGAAGTTTGGGGTCAGTAAGATTTAACAAAGCTGCATTTATTAGATCAAAAATACAGTAAAAATAGTAATATTGTAAAATATTATTTATATTTAAAATATAATTAGTATTTAATTATAAAAAGATAGTTTTATAATTAAATATATCTTAAAATGTAATTTATTCCTGTGATGTAAAGCTGAATTTTCTGCTGAGTCTTCAGTGTCACATGGTCCTTCAGAAATCATTCTAATATGCTGATTTGCTGCTCAAAAGACATTTCTGATTATTGTCATTTTTTTCGAGTTCAGAATTTATTTGAAATGAAATCGTTTGTTACATTGTGAATGTTTTTATTGTCACTTTTGATAAATTTAATGCATCCTTGATGAATAAAAGTATTCATTTCTTCTCAGTTTTTTAAAGAATTCTTTAGAAGTTCAAAAGAACAGGATTTATTTGAAATAGAAAATCTTTACAACATTATAAATCTTTTAACTGTCACTTCTGAACAGCATCAGTTTCTTTAAAAAGTCTAAAACCCTAAACGGTAATTAAAAATGCAGGAACAATTATACTCAATATTAATGGATATTGTATCATCTTCTAGAAGACATTATTTAATGCCCAGGGCAGAGAGAAACATCTATAAGAATTCATTTATACCTGCAGTAATTGGATATTTAAATCAAAACACTAAGGTGGAACGATCTGATATGTTTTTTTGACATCTATGTGGTTTTTAATGTTATGTAGTATGTTTGAGGCCATTGGGTTGACAAAGTTATTGTATTGTATTGTTTTTTGAGTGTTATTGAAGTAACATAGATTTTTCTTTGTTTCATTGGTTTCTTTTGTGCTCATATGACATTTTTAAGGCATTTGTTTAATCTGTCATTGGTTTGCTGTGTTATGGTGGCTTCAAAAGGTTTATCTACAGTACCTTCATTTTGTTTGAGTTTAGCAGTAACAAAAATAAGATGTAGACAGCCGTACGGTTTTCTTTGACTTCTTAGTGATCTCATCTATGTTTTTCTATGAACTCCAGCGATTGTGGGTGTAACTGGAAGCGTTGCTTTGAAGAGCCTAAATGCAGCCGAGCATTGATTGATTTCTATTTAAATGACTGCATCGTACTCTTTTTCTCAGCTATCATCCATTTTCGATTCATTCTTCTCGTAGGCGTTAACGCGTTCGTTCTGCCAGGCGTGCATTCACTCAGCTCGAGCAAAAAATAATCTCAGATCTTTATACCAAACAATTACTAGACCATTAACTGAGCTATCAAAGGCTCAAATGCTTTCCTCAAAGACTGCATTATGTCCGCTATCAGAAATTGTGCTGCTTTTAAAGCATTTTCCAGAGCAGTTCTATTGAAATGAATGTTAACTGGACTGTAATGCAGCAGTATAGAATATGTATATGCTTTTCAATCTAAGCAGATGCACTGCTATTCAGATGTGTAGATTTTTTAATACTTTCTTTTAGAAAGGATGCATTTAATTGATCAAAAGTGACAGTAAAGACATATATTCATTTTCTCTAACTTCCTTGCAATGTTTTTTTTCCAGGGAATCTTTCATTTCCAGCTGGGACGGGGGGAGCCTATGCTTCATACACGACTGCGGCCTCACTGCAAAGACTTTCTAGAAAAGATCGCCAAACTCTATGAGCTGCACGTGTTCACCTTTGGCAGCCGTTTATACGCTCACACCATTGCAGGTACATTGTTGTGATGTGACACATTGAATGATTGAATGAAACATGAATGATACTTCAAACGCAGGACAGGTGCGATATTATTTTTCTAACCGATCAGAATTTTTGATTCTCACCCGGTGGATGATAAAACCCATCAAAAAAGTCCCATATCTCATATTTGGCCTTTCACAGTGACACCAGGTGGCAGCATTTGTTCATATGTTTCAGCATTTGCTCAGTGTTTTGACTTTGAAGATGAATATATTTTTTGCTGTGTTTGGTTATTTAATGCAACATATTAACAATAAATGCGTCAAAACAAGTGTCATCTGCAAGAACTGTCCCATTATCTGCTTTGATAAAAGCCTCTGCTAAATGACTAATAAACAAGAAATTGGTTTAGTGAGGGTGTTTATTATAGCCGTCTATAATATACCCTATACATTTCTAATAGTAACCTTTATGAGTGCTACATTAATTCTTTAATTTAGGTCAGAGTGTTTATTATTGGAAGTGTAATTGGTAGTGTCGGGTCTGGTTTTAGCTCAGGTAGGATTTTGCAGGATATCATCAGCACAGTAAAATGATCAGGTTTCAGGTGTGTAGCATCCTTTGAACGAGACCTGAAGTGTTCTTGCATTAAGTGAGCTTCATATTTGGCATCTCGCACATTTGAATCTCTTAATATTTGGCCTCAGTGCTTCCCACAAACCCAAATGGTTGGACACAATCAGCAGTAGAAAAGACACAATAAAGGAAGTAGCTCAACTTTTCTGAATTAAAGTCTTGATTTATTGTACTGTAGTGCAGGCAGGAGATTGAAAGCTTTGAAAGCATTGGTTCATTTTATTTTTCCTGTTTTCCTTTTATTACAGCTGTAAGTAGTCTCAATGCAGTCCGAGCGAAACTACAGCATTTATAGCTCTGCTTCCAGCTGTAATTTAGACTTCATCTTTAAAAGAAATGACTGTTTCCTCTCTTTCTCTCACTCATACCAATTTATTTTTCTCTTTTAAAAAGGTTTTTTAGACCCTGAAAAGAAGCTCTTCTCTCATCGGATCATGTCTAGAGATGAATGCATTGACCCCTTGTCTAAGACAGGCAACCTCAGGTGAGGCATGTTTCACTCAGTTCTGTCTTCTACTTCTGGAGTAGTTTAGCCTTCAGCATCTTTCTTGTTTTAAACCCATAAATAATAATGTACTCGTTCTAATAAATTTATATTGTAATGTATGCATTCTAATATATTAAAATCATCTTAACATTGCTGGTAGGTTATCATTGCACAAATCAACACACTCTCTACGTTTAAAAAAAAAAATTAGAAGAGTTCTAAACATCGCAGGGATGCTTTGATCAAAAGTGACAGTACAATTATTTTGAACTTTTTGTTCATCAAAGAATCATGAAAATGTAACGCGGTTTCCAAAAAAACATTAAGCAGCACAAGTGCTTTCAAAATTGATAACGGTAAGAACCCTTATTATTAATTGTGCACCAATCATGAATGATTTCTGAAGGATCATGTGACACTGAAGACTGGCGTAACAATGCTGAAAATTCAGCTTTGATCACAGGAATAAATTACATTTTAAAATAAATTCAAATAGAACATAGGTATTTTATATTGTAAAATATTTAGAATTTTGTTTACTGTATGTTTGATCAAATAAATGCAGCCTTGCTGAAAATAAGAGATGTCTTTCAAAAACATGAAAAAATTGTGCTGACCCTGAACGTCTGAATGGTGTGTGTGTGATTTCCACATTGTCTGACATTTTCATAACAGGAAATAATTTCCTTGTTTAGAGTATGATTAGAGAATTGTTCTTTCTTTCTTTCCTTATTTTTGTACTTATTCTTTAGTTGAATTAATTTTTAAAGGTTAAAAGATAAAAGTCAAGCATCTAAAGTGTTTTTCTTGTTAAGTGTAAAGCTTATTCAACCTCATGTGACAATGCAGAGTGTTTTTCTTGACTCCAGCAGTGTGCACGAGTGCTTGTGCACAGAAGAGACGTGTATTTCTGAAGGGCTTCAGAGAACAGCTCTGATTCAACTTAAGACTAAACGTGCTTTCAAGTGCAGATATAAGGTGCTGTTTCGCAGACCCCTGCTTTTTACCCACATCTATATTCATTCGGCTCTGCATGACAGATCAAGAATACGGTGAACACTGAATACATTTAACACTTCAATGTATTCGTTTATGCAGCATGATCTTATTTCAGTCAATCTATACATTATTATTATTATTATTATTGTTATTTATTTATCAATTTACAATATAACAACAATCAAAACAATAAAACAAATATTCTACATTAAGTAGCATCAGAGTATACAAATATGAAAACATACATCATCAAATTCAATTTGTGTTCGCAAATTAAAACGAAATAAAATGACAGCACATGTGAATGGTCAGTGTGATAACAATAGTTGTATAGGCATGAGTCAAAGGGTTCATAATTGGTTAAAAAATATATATTCCAGGTCTGTAAGAAGATGTGGGTTTTGTTTTTAAACTGTATGTTAAACACTGTAAAAAAAAATTCTGTAGTTTTTACAAAATAATTTTGGCAGCTGTGGTTGCCAGAATAATTTTGTAAAAAATACAGAAAAACTGTAAACACATTTACGGTATAAAAATAAATTTTACAGTATAAAATTGTAATTTACAAACAAGAAAATTTGAATGTAAACCAGTAAATTCAACAATTCACACTGCTATTAAAATCTGTTTTGTACCTTTAACATACTGACAACCACCATAATAATGCAGGTGGTAAAAGAGAAAGCCACATGAAGAATCAAAGCTCATCACAAGTAGCTTCGCCACAAGCAGAAGTATATACTAATATATAGAAGGTGCACAGAGTCATTCATGCAAACACAAAACACCATCATGGTAACACACATGATACTTAAATAATGCATTAAACTTTCATTAAACGACAGAAGATGTAACATAAAGCCCAAATAACCATAACTAATTACAAAAACTATTAAAAAAACATGATTATTTAAACAAAATACTTTCAAATGTGGAGTGTCATGCAGGGAATTCTGGGAATATCAGTTTACAGGTTTTTTGTTTATTTGTTATTTTTACTTCTAAAAACTGTAAAATTAACAGCATTTTACTGTAAAATTATATGAAATGTCTGGTTAGATATTTTACAGTTTTTCCCTGCATATACAGTAGTACGGGAACTTACTGTTAACCTATTAACAGTTTTTTTCCGTAGCGTTTTTACAAAATTTTACAGTTAAAATTACACTTATTTTTTACAGTGAATATTCCACATGCAGTGTGTCCTTTTATGATATTTTTAAATAGTTCAAATGTTGGAGGGTGTTCCTTTTTCCATTTTAATAGAATACATTTCTTAGATACGTAAGAAATCAGACCTACCCTTTTAATAAGTAAAGGGTCTGATATCTCATTTAAGTCCTCCCCAAAAAGATATATTAAAGGAGTCTTGTGATATTTCTTCCCCAGGACAATCACAGAGAACTAATGTACACTATCCCAAAACTCCTTTAGTTTTTCGCAGTTCCAAAAAATGTGCATAATGGTGCCCTTATGTGTCTTACATCTGTTGCACAAAGCAGATGCACCAGGATATATCTAATCTTACTAAGGCGAACTGGGGTCAAGTATATTCTTTGTATAAAATTGTAATTTTGTTCTATTATTTTGTTACTAGAGAATGAGAAAAAGACACACTTGTATACAACATCCCACTGATCATAATCAAAGTTACAACCAAGATCTTTTTGTCATACGCTTTTTAATGAAGTTAAAGATGACTCGGCTTGAACGCTTAAGATTGCATACATCTCAGATATTTTTCCCTTCAATATTGACGTGTTCTCTAGAATGATTTGTAATTTAGAGATATGACCCTTTGCAAGAAGATCTTTAATCAAATGTCTGAGTTGTAAGTACTTGTAAAAATCTTAATTGTCAATATCAAATTCACTTTTTAAAATAATGATCTTTAAAAAAGCATCATATGACCCCTTTAAAAGAGAACTATACAAACTTTAAGCCTGTAAAACATTTTGGGGTGGTTTGTTTTCCGTTCTTTCTGAAAATACGCCTCATTTCTGTGAAGCGTTTCTCTCTCTTGTACATTTTTCATGTTATTTCCTTTGAGGTGAAACACTCAGAAGATATTTGAACCTGAATCTCAACATTTTAATCATTAAAATGACCTGAAAAAGGCACTTTGAGTTTATAATTTAAAATGACAACTTAAGTCTTTCTTACCTTTTTCACCGTATGTAAGTTTACATTACATTACATTACTATCTTGTTGTTAATTGTAAAGTTTAACAGCGTGTTAAATTTAAACAAGTACTAATATTTATAGTATTTAAGCATTAGTTATTCTGCATTGGTCGTTTAAAAACGTCTTCGAGCCAGAGTTGTTAGATTTTTCTTGTTTTATGCAATAACTACGCAGGAGGAAGTCCAATTCACTTCTCTTTCCTCGTGTCAGACTGTTAATATGTGTGGGTTTCGTATGGAGCTCTCATACTGACCTTGAAGGAAGAACAGTCTCACAGAGCAGCCGGTATCATACAAAGACAGTCACGATCGGACTTCAGCGGCGCACAGATTACTTTCTTTAGGTCGATAAACCTACAGAAGCCAAGCCTCTGCAGCCCAATGCTTCTATTAGTGTGAATGACTTTGTTTGCCATTTCAAAACTCAAGCTGTTGGAAAGATGTTCTTGGGGGCTGTTTAGATGCGCCAGACATTCACAGATAAATCTATACTCATTACGCTGTTTACCCAGAGACCCCAGATGCGTTTGGACCCTCGAGATGTACTTCAAAATGTCTGAATAACAAAATTTCCCAGCATTTATTTGAAAGGCAGACAGCACAAACACACTTTTTACATTGCATTGCGACATTTTGTGGTTGTGAGATGTTAATTAACGTTAGTTAATTGATTTTCTGCACCTGTGGTTCATCTCTAAGGACATCTGGGAGAACTGACTTCATACATCCACTAAAAATCACTTTGAGACCAGCTAATTGTCTAAATCGTTTTTGGCCACACTATTTTTGGTATTGTACCAGTGTTAATGTTATAAAATTCTCATTGACATTTTGGTCTTGGCAGGCTGGCACTGTCTGGGTGCTGTTCATTTAGTCATAACCAACCACCAGCTGCTAAATATGAGCGTCTAAAAATGTCAGTGTGACCGTAAAACTGTGTGTTTTTAAAAACAATTTTTTTTAGAAATTTGTCCAGCATTTATTTGAAAGGCAGACAGCACAAACACACTTTTTACATTGCATTGCGACATTTTGTGGTTGTGAGATGTTAATTAACGTTAGTTAATTGATTTTCTGCACCTGTGGTTCATCTCTAAGGACATCTGGGAGAACTGACTTCATACATCCACTAAAAATCACTTTGAGACCAGCTAATTGTCTAAATCGTTTTTGGCCACACTATTTTTGGTATTGTACCAGTGTTAATGTTATAAAATTCTCATTGACATTTTGGTCTTGGCAGGCTGGCACTGTCTGGGTGCTGTTCATTTAGTCATAACCAACCACTAGCTGCTAAATATGAGCGTCTAAAAATGTCAGTGTGACCGTAAAACTGTGTGTTTTTAAAAAAAAATTTTTTTAGAAATTTGTTCCCCTGTGGAGACTCCATGGTGTGCATCATAGACGACCGAGAGGACGTTTGGAAGTTCGCCCCCAACCTCATCACAGTGAAGAAATACATCTACTTCCAGGGCACCGGTGACATCAACGCCCCACCGGGCTCACGAGAGGCCCAGATGGTCAGAAAAGGTAATGTTTATTTTCCCAGCGACTCTAATTAACGATAATGCTCGGCAAACTGGACATTAGCCCTAGTGTCTTCTGTCTGTATAGCATGCTAACTTCTAAGGCAGAATCTTGAGCTAAAGTAAATTGTGAAAAGAGCGTCTCAAAGAACAAATCCAGTTTTTTTCAATAGGAATCTACACGAATTGGAATAAAAGATTTCCACATGCAGATTTTGCAACAAATTTGCTGCTTTGACCAACAGGAAAATGACTTCTGTGTGAGGTCATACATTGCTACGCGATGGACAGTAGACCATTTTTTCGGGTGAAATTTTGCCCAAATTTTACTGTGCCTGCATCTTAAAGGAATAGTTTACCCAAAAATGATTTAAAAAAAAAAAATTTTACTCACCCTTAGGACATCCAACATGTAGAGGAGTTTGTTTCTTCATCAGATTTGAACAGAGAAATGTAGCATTACATCACTTGCTAACAAGTGGATCCTCTGCAGTGAATGGGTGCCGTCAGAATGAGAGTCCAAACAGCTGTTAAAAACATCACAATAATCCATAAGTAATCCACACCACTCCAGTCCATCAATTAATGTCTTGTGAAGAGAAAAGCTGCGTGTTTGTAAGAAACATCCATCAAGACGTTTCTAACTTCAAATGGTTGCTTCCCACTAAAATACGAGTCCTCTATCCATAATATTGCTTTTTCCAGTGAAAAAGTAGTCTTTTCTGAATCAGTAGAGAAATCTGCACAGATCAAGAACTGTTTATGAGTGAAAACGGTTCAAAACAAATGTGACCCTGGACCAAAAAACCAGTCATAAGGGTTCATTTTTTGAAATTTAGATTTATACATCACCTGAAAGCTGAATAAATAAGCTTTCCATTGATGTATGGTTTGTTAGGATAGGACAATATTTGGCCGAGATACAACTATTTGAAAATCTGGAATCTGAGGGTGCAAAAAAATCTAAATATTGAGAAAATCACCTTTAAAGTTGTCCAAATGAAGTTCTTAGCAATGCATATTACTGATCAAAAATTAAGTTGTGATGTATTTACAGTAGGACATTTACAAAATATCTTTATGGAACATGATCTTTACTTAATATCCTAATGATTTTTGGCATAAAAGAAAAATCAATAATTTTGACCCATACAATGTATTTTTGGCTATTGCTACAAATATACCCCAGCGACTTAAGACTGGTTTTCTGCTCCAGGGTCACAAATATGTTAGCGGATTTTGATGTGAAAGAACATCAGGGGATGGTTGTTTTCACTGGAGGAAACTTTATTACTGATTATGGATTTTGACCAGAAGCAATGGTTAAAACGCCTTTTATTCTGACGGCACCCATTCACTGCAGAGGATCCATTGGTGAGCAAGTGATGATGTAATACTAAATTTCTCCAAATCTGTTCTGATAAAGAAACAAACTTATCTACATCTTGGTTGACCTTAGGGTGAGCACATTTTTAACACATTTTAAGTTTTGGGTGAACTATGCCTTTAAAAATTTGGTTAAAGTGAATAAAAAATGCTGTTTGGAGCAGTCGTCATGACAGGAGTTCACGTATGATGCCTTAAAATTAGGGCTGGGTTATCGAAATTAAAATTAGGGATTCGATTTGACTATATGAATGAATATAGATTTAATACAAATCCTATATTTATAAAAAATGAACAGTGAACATAAGATTACAAATGGTTAATTAATAGGAAATTAAGAGCCACAAACCTGTATATTAAACACTTTTTATTTTAGGTACACTTGGGTACAATAAAACAAAACCCCACTATATATTTCAAATGCAGACAATGAATAGACAGAATTTTGATGCAAGATGAAAAACTGATGCTAAAAATTGGACAAGTCAGAACAGTCGCATGCCTTGAGGCAAATAAGGGGGTGACATCTAGTGGATTAGACTAGTAATAAGATTAACGTAAATCTTATGTTCAATGTTTGCAGAAATAAATATTGAAAAAAATAGATTCGTGGCCTTTGAGAATCGATATTGAATCGACCACATTTTTAAAAACGATATATCGAAAAATCTATTTTTTTGCCCAGCCCTACTTAAAATGTGGTCGGCTCTCTAGATATTGGAACACAGCTATTTGTCTTCTGTTCAGTCTATCAATGTGAATTCGTTTGAGTATTTCCTGGTTCATTTTTATTACAGATGAATATTGCTCATAAGTATTACTGAAGAAGTTAATTAGATTTCGTTCAAATTGCAAAACTTTTTTGGGTGGGAAAGTAGTTCTGCTCGCTCTCCAGCAGGGAGGGTTTAATAAGAAGCGATGGTGGTGTTTTAATAAAGGCGCGTGTGCGTGACCTCTCTCTGTGAGCTCTGAAATAATCTGCTTACCAGAGGAGAGGAGCGCACTGCATTTTACAGCAGTTCCAGGAAACACGCTGCCAGCGGAGGTCAACCAGCAGCGGGATCTATTAAACTGATTTGCTCCTGCACAAACTAAAGAAAGTTCACAGCCTATGCAGAGGCTTTGTCTGTCAAGAGCTGTTTGAAGTGAGTCCCTGCGGGCTGGACACACAGGAAACAAAGTTACAAGAACATTAGAAATGTCTGTTTGTGAACTCCGTTCACTGGGTGAAGAGGGGTTCAAGTGGAGCTTCTCTTTTGAAGGTTAAAGCATGTTTGTGGTTGACCCTTTGTCTGTATATCTTGTGAGAGATGTACAAAATCAAAATCAATTAGTGAATGGTTGTCTGACCAACCAGTGGTCTAGTACAGTGGTTCTCAACCTTTTGACTTTAAGGCCCATTGTATTTGAAGGTCCCTCCCTAGCCCTATTATTTTTAGAATTACTTTAATCTATGGGCACTCTTAGTCTCCTAGTTAAATAATTAAAAGTAAAATAATTCAATTTCAGGATTCTAGACATTTTAAGAGCTTAATGTTCTTCAGCAAAGATTTAATGACTCCATGACTCCAAAGTTAAGATTTTAAGATAAAGATTAAGATAAAGACTATTTAAAGTCCGTGTAAAGCAACATTAAAGGCACAATATGTAATTTTCGCTGCTGGAGGGTGCGTATTCAAAATAAACAAATAGACAAAGGCGTAGTTTTATGACGCCTTGACTGAGTGTGGAATCATGGGAGTTGTGGTCTTCATCCCCACAGCCGATGCAATCCGACGGGACTCGGGCAGAAATCATGTTCATGGATGAGCTAATGATTTATTAACGTAGTAGAATGAAGCAGGGTGAGGCTGAAAGCCGTCGAAACGAAACGAGGCCGCTGAACGAGCGTGACACACGGCTCGAAAGCAGCGGAGCTTTTATTATGCCACAGTCGACTGCTTCCGCTCCTTCCGGTCGTGCGTATGTGGGGTAAAGCAGCG